TATATATATATTAATTTTATTCGTGCCGTACAAGTATATCAAAGGATGTGTACCTTACAAGACATTCAAACTTGAAAATAAGATGCTTGAATTTCATTGTATAGAGCTATTACTAAGTGAGCACCTTCGTGGTTTCACTAGGAACCTTGCCAAAGTCAAAACAAGGTAATAAAATCTGAATTTTCATGGATAGATTTTTGAAATTGGCTATTTTAATCCCTCATAAGAGTACAATTACTTGAAAGGATGCCAGTCTCTTTTTCCAATAGTGTCTGATATAGATAAAACAGTTTCTGATCCAGTTCAAGGAGTTCTTGTCAGTCACGATGGATACTAGATTAAAGAGGATCATTGTCTTTGATTACATACTGATGAGTAGAAGAAAGTGGTATGCGAAATCATGGTGCATATGTTGAGTGGTTTTAACATGCATCCCAAAGTTTGGTTTGATAAACTATCCTAAATTTAATTCATCTTCAACCGAGTGGTGCTCATACTATAATTAAGAAAACAGCTGAAGTTTGTCTGCGGTATCTTCAAAAGAGCTCATTTGATTTTTGCTTTTCCATTACCCTTACTATTAATGTTGGGGCTGAAACTTACAAAAAAATGGCCTCAAAATTCTTGGAGGGGCATTCACAAAATTCATACATCAGTGCAACAATTCCAGAAATCCCAATAATAATACGTGTAGTGACACGATTGTGATTGTTTTATGGCCAACGTCTAAGTAGCATATATTGTTTGATTACACTTGAGCTATGATTTCCTCGAGGGAGAAAGCAATACGTTGAAGCCAGTTAGATATTGATCTTTTCAAATTCTTTGAAAGAGTTGAGAACATTTTCCAGTTAGAACTATTGTTATACATGGAGATGCATTTGGTTATTAATGGGGACAATTTGTAGTTCTTAAACATTGCATGATAAGTCTGAAAAGATTCCACCTTCTATTTCTGATTTGCCCATGGTAAACAGGTAGTGAGTACCATTTGAAGTGGATATCCTTCCAGAGCGAAACAATAGTGCAATCAAATATTTTCTAAATAAGATATTTCACATTGGCAGGAAAAATCTGCCAAACAAGGATAATGTTACGCAAGGTAAATTGGAAATATCACTTTCTCTTTTCTTCAATTTTAGTTTCATGAGTGCAATTCTCCTTAATGGTGTACTCATGATATGGTGATCATATCATAAAAGGGACGATCAATTTTGCCTTCCACTTTTAAGAAGTCCATTAGAAGATGCTTCCCCAAACCATGAAATTAATTATGGCATCATGCTAGCTGATCTTGGATTGTCTAATTTCTTCTTGTAGGTTAGAAATTATAGTTATTCTTTCGTGACAGATAAAAGAAGACATTATTAGCCATTCACAATAAAAAACAAGTTGTAAATTGTTGGTTTGGTTTCAAGACTACGAGGTAAGAAGTCTGAACTTTTTAATTGAAAGCTGACTTACAACATAAAAAGCATGGTTGGCAGCCACTCAATCAATCTTATATGGTTAACTAGCTATAGGATGTATTTTATTTTTAGTTTTCAATTTCATAAAGTTGTTCTTTGTCTCAAGATAGAATTACTTTCTTTTCTTGTGGAGTCATTGTGGGATGAACAAGGATTATTTTTAAATTTGTATCTTTTTTGTATTTGTCTATAAAAAAGATTGGTTTCATATACAAATTCAAAATCTTACAAAACTCTCTTTCATTCTCCCTCCCCTTCCATTAGCTTTGATTTCTAGCATACCTGAAAAATATCCCGTCATCAATCTTGTTGTTGTTAAGAGAATAGTGGCTTTTTTCTAGTGCCATTCTTGCTACTTGAAGATTTCAAATTCATCTAAAAATTACCCCCAAAATCAACAACCATCGAGTAGTTGTTTTTGCCATCAAAATCCTTATTGTTTAGCACCGAAGAATAGTTCATATGTGTTATTTAGCAAAAAAACAACAAACCGACTACTAGTTGTTGAAGGGCAAGTCAGACTGAGTGGAGCTTTTTTTGAGACCAATGCACATAGTCATTC